CAGCAGCAGTAGCAGCAGCAGTAGTAGTAGTAGTAGGAGGAGGAGTAGGAGCAGCAGCAGCAGCAGCAGAGAGAAGGAAGCAGACACAACAAAACACAATTCAATGATAGTCATATATGTCAGTAGCAGCGGTAAACAAGAGATAGCAGCAACAGCAACAATAACAGCAGCAGCAGCAGCAGCAACAGCAGCAATCTATCTATCTATATGAAGGTTTATAAGGGTTTATAAGGGTTTACAAGGGTTTCCAAGAGTTTACAAGTGTTTCCAAGGGTTTAGGGTTTACAAGGGTTTAGGGTTTCCAAGGGTTTACAAGGGTTTATAAGAGTTTACAAGGGTTTCCAAGGGTTTAGGGTTTATAAGGGTTTAGGGTTTACAAGGGTTTCCAAGGGTTTACAAGGGTTTACAAGGGTTTCCAAGGGTTTAGGGTTTACAAGGGTTTACAAGGGTTTACAAGGGTTTACCTTTCCAAGCGAATACAGTGGCTGAGTTGCTGGCAGCAATAGCAGCAGCAGCATGGTCTTGTGTACTGAATATATTGCAGGAGCACCAACGTATCTCTGCGCCTAAATGTTTGAGGGTTTCTATGAGTACGGCGGTTTGTATCGTCATGTGTAGAGAACCACTAACCCTAGCACCAAGTAAGGGTTTAGTGTTTTTGTATTGTTCTCTTATAGACATTAAACCAGGCATCTCGCTCTCTGCTAGCTCTATCTCCTTTCGGCCAAATGCTGCGAGAGTTAGGTCTTTTACTTTGCTCGTTGTGCAGCAGCAACTGCTGCTGATGCTGCTGCTGCTGCTGCTGCTGCTGCTGGTTGTTGCTGCTGCTGCGGGAGCCATCTTGTTGCGGGAGAGAAAGAGATAGAAAGGAGGGGTTATTTGCGGATAAATATGTTTATTTAAGAATATTTATTTATTTATTTTTTTATTTTTCAAATAATATTCATATTTCGCCAAAAAAAAAATACACAAATACTGACGCGAGCATACACAACCTGCGTATACACCCCACGAGACAGCTGCGCATACACCCCAGCGCCCAGCCCCAGCCATACAAACTTCTCTGCATCTTCTGTTCTTTTTTATTATTATTTTAATGTAAATTATTTAAATTTTTATTTATTTTTATTTAATTATTCCTTTTTTTTTGATCTCTTAAAAAAAAAACACAAACAAACTATAAACCCTCACCCTGCTGCTCGCGCTTGGGGGGGGCCCCGCACGGGGGCCCCCCTGGGGGCCCCCACAGAAACCCTTATTTAGGGTTTATATAAACTAACTTTTTTTTCTTCTTCTTTATTTATTTTGATTGAGACAAAGAAGGAGGATGTAGAGAATTACAGGAAAATAACAAAAAAAAACAAAAAAAAAAACGTAGCAGCAAGCGAACCCTAAACCCTAAACCCTAAACCCTAAACCCTAAACCCTAAACCCTAAACCCTAGGCCCCGCAGACAAATGCAAGTAAACGGGGTACACAAGAGGAGGAGAAAGACAGAGGAGGAGACAGAGGGGGAGACAGATACCACAGAAAGCCGCAATAGAAGAAAACGCAAACAGAGCGAACACAAAAAGGGTTTAGGGGCCCCCGAGGGTTTGGGGGCCCCCGAGGGTTTGGGGCCCCCCGAGGGTTTGGGGGCCCCCGAGGGTTTGGGGGCCCCCGAGGGTTTGGGGGCCCCCGAGGGTTTGGGGGGCCCCAAGGAAGACAGTGAAGGAGATGAGAGCGAGTGAGTAAACCCTCAAACCCTAAACCCTAATTTATAAACCCTAATATATAAACCCTAGTAGTAAACCCTTATCTTTCAATCGACTAAACCCTAAACCCTAAACCCTAAACCCTAAACCCTAGAGTGAAGCTGCGAGGGTTTCTGTATGGCTTTATACACAAGAAGGGGAGAGGTGTTTCTCTGTCTCTCTCTCTTTGTTTTTTTTTTGTCTATCTTTGTTACTGCTTGTTTTTTTAGGGTTTATTAGGGTTTATGGTTTTGTTTGTTTGTTTGTTTGTTTTTATTTGTTTCTCTATTTCTATCTTTATTTATTTATATCTCTATTTCTCCTCGTCTCTCTCTCTTTGTTTCTGTCGTTGTCTCTCCTCCTCCACATGCATGCATGCATGCATGCATGCATGTATTTTGGGGCTTTCTCTCTAGCCTGCATGCATGCATGCATGCATGCATGTATTTTGGGGCTTTCTCTCTACCCTGCATGCACGCATGCATGCATGCATGCACGCATGCATGCATGCATTTTGGGGCTTTGTTTATATTCTACAGGGAGGAGGAGTGGATCCCGGAAGCTGCATTTGAGGCCTCTCTACGCGCAATACCCAAAGTAAGAGTGGGGGCCCCCCTATTAGGGTTTAGGGGGCCCCCTAGTAGGGTTTAGGGGGCCCCCTAGTAGGGTTTAGGGGGCCCCCTAGTAGGGTTTAGGGGGCCCCCTATTAGGGTTTAGGGGGCCCCCTAGTAGGGTTTAGGGGGCCCCCTATTAGGGTTCAGGGGGCCCCTTTGCTGCTGCTGCTGCTGCTGTATAAAACTAACAATAAAAACAACAAAAACAATAATAAAATAATAAAAAAAAAAAATAAATATTTGGGGGCCCCCTGTGTGTGTGTGTAGACAATACCCTTTTGGGGGGCCCCCCGGTCCTTCACTCTGAGCGTCGCCTTGCCGGCCTCCATCATAGCCAATGCACAGGTAAGATAAATATATTTATTTTTATTTTTATTTTTATATTTACATATATATATATATATATATATATATATATATATATATATATATATATATATATATATATATATATAGTATATACGTGTGTATTTATCTATATATATGTGTTTATATGAATATATTTCTCTGTATATGTATGTATATATATCTATATATATTTTTCTTTTTTTTCTGTTTTCTTCTTCTTTCTCCCTTTTTCTTTTCATTTCTCCTTCTATATCTTTTTACCTATATTCTATCTCCATCTCTATCTCTATCTCTTTCTCTATCTTTTTTTTTTTTTTTTTTTTTTTTTTTTTTTTTTTTTTTTTTTTTT